AAGGTCACACCCTCACATAAAATTGCCCTAAGATATGAAGCAGTCTTTAAAGAAGGGGGAGGGGAAGCTCAGGAGACAGCATCACACAACACTATCTCTAAGAAATCTGGCAAGCTTAAAAATTTTGTATCACATGGAAAGATGATGTTCTAAGTAGTATGTGAACAAGGATGTCAGAGACTAGGGAGAATTGACTTATTTTGATACTTGTTTCTATTGTATCAAGCACCACAACTCCTGACAATCATGCTGAGCTAAGAAACAGAATAGTTCCTCTCTGCAAACTATTTTAGATGAACAGATTTTCTCTGGATAACCTGCTATGCCAGTTCACCAAAAAAAAAGTCCCCAACCCAACCAAAAAAAAAAGCCAAACAACAACCAAACAAAAGGAAAAGTCTTCAGTCTTCCTCCTTGGCTAAACAGAGCCATCCTCAGCAGCATGACCCTTCACAGAAAAGCAAATAAACCCATACTGCTACCTCTCTAGTCAAATGATTATATCCTATACTTCATCCACATAGAGGCCTTCATTGTGGTGGCACCGAACACTTTACGTACTACCAGAACTGATGCATTCATTAGTCACTGAAATATTGCCAATGATACAAAATTGCAACAAAGATTTGGGGATACTTGGGAAAGTATCATGACTGAATAACTACATTTGCCAGTTTCAAAGCAGAATTTAAATTGGTTTCCCGTGTAAAAGCACTGTGATGTTTTTAACAACTGAAAGTAGTCTGAAACTCAGTTTCCATCCATGATCCAGCAGCAGGACTCCTCCCACTAGCATTACGCCAAACTCAATCAAAGAAAAGAGCGTTACTGATGGCCTACCTGACGCTTGGATTTCTCCGGAATCTTCAGATACAAGCACTCTCTGAAACTGATACTAATTAGCCCACAAATGCTGAAGAAAACGTAGCTAACAGATACACTGGTAAGACCCACATTTTCCCTCTATGCTGGCAGTGGGAATTCTTACCAAATGACAACATCTGGAAGACACATCCCAGGTATGTTATGTATTGCCCCATCTCCATAAGACTTTCCTCTGGAACCCTGTCCAGAACTGACTAGGTTTCAGAGCAATTATTCAGGGATCTTGCAAAATCAGTTTTGCAAGTACATAAGTTCCAGTGAACTATGGGAGCCATGGGAAGGTACAGTATTATGCACAGATCCTTCCTGGAGCAGCTGTTTTCGAAAGCTGAAAGAGGCTATAAATAGAGTGCCACTTGATTGCCAGTTCACATGAAACTAAAACACAGAGTATATAGGAAACAGTAGTTAGTTCTCAGATGTCTTCCTTCAATATGTAGTCACCTTCAATATTCCCCATATTTTACATTGCAGCCTAACAACACCATCCAAATGGATGGGTCACTATGCAGGTATCATTCATACATACATACTTCCTTCCAACACATTTAACTGCATTGTTAGTTATGGACTTGCTATGAGATTTCTCCTTTGATTTGCTGGCTGAAAAAGAACAGCAGACAACGAAGACATATAACATATTTTGTTTTGTACTGGTATCCATAATTGTTCTGACAAATTTACCAAAAACCCCCAAACAAACAAACCAAAAAAAAAAGGCAAAAAAAGCACACAGGCACTTGAGTCTCCCAATATTATTACTAAGTCAAAATGAAATGCTTGACTTGCATTTGTTCTGTCTGCCAGACTGTTTAGACAGTATAAAAACAGTATAAATAGGAAGACCTTACTTCCCATTCAGACTAGATCAGCAATGAGCGACAATCAATGCACTCTTCACTGCGATCTCAATCTGTGTCCAAACAACGAAGCTCCTATATACTGAATTGCTGAAGTCTGAAAGAGAAAAGACCCATATATACGCTAAACTGCACATAAAAAAGGACATCTGGTAAATCTGCATGGAAGCAATCACATCTGACTAGCGGCAACATTAGTGTGTCTATTAAGGCCATAAATGCCATTTTGAATACAAGCGCGATGGCTCTACAATACAAGCATACCACGTACCAACTCCAGAATATGGTACCAACTCCAGAATGTGATTCAAGTTCCTTGCAGCAGCTTACAGCCTTTTGTTAAAGGCAGAAGTCAGTAAGGACTGAGCAACTCTTACCACCACCCATGCAGATCTTACCACCAACTCAGTGGGAGGCCTGTCCCAGGTCCTATTTTCTCAAGGCTATAAAGCTACTGAACATGTTCAGGTTAAATGAAAAACAGCAAATAAGAGACCTTAGCCTAGTCAACAGGGGGGTTTTGTTTTTAACTAGTTATGCACATTTTACTGGAGCAGTGTCCAGAAAAGAGATCTTAATAAATTTGGGAGGATGATTTCTACTGATCAAATCTTAATACTTGAACTGTCAGACACACAATCCTGTAAAAGAAAAAAAGGTCTTACAATACTTCTTCAAAATCTACATGCTACAATCCTGATTTTAACATTGAGCTTTTCCGCTCCAATTGGAGCAGGCAAAAAAAATAAAATTCTTAAGTATACAGTCAGAAGGATATCCATATTTGATCACTAAAAGTTAGGACAATCCTCAGCTAAGACTTGACCAAGCACAGCTGTCAAGACATAACAAAAGTCAAAAGCAGTTAGACCATTAGTTTTCAACCTTTTTTAATTTTAGGATGTCAATTTTATTTTTTTTTTCCAGAGGACTTATGTGCATGTAAGTGGTATACAAACATACACTCTCTCTGTAATAGGTAGAAACCTACTGGGAACAGCCTTGCTTTTCTCAGTTACCTCTTCTGTATTACTGAGTGTTCAGGGACCACAAACAGAAAACTACTTGGTAATGTGATATGCCACTTTAAATTCCAGCTGGAAACCAAATGAAAACCAATACCAACCACAGTCAGAAATGCCTAGGAGGTACCCAAAGATACACTTTTTACAATGCCGTGAATAAGTTCCCTCTCAGTACTCAACGTTTCCACTCAAAAGCAGGAATTATTTTGCCACACAAGCACAAAGGAATGCGCTTGCAACCAATAAGCCATCTTCCCTGGAGAGCCACCCACCCCAAATCCGAGTGTCATTATGATATACGCCACTAGACCGCCACACCTCCAAACACACGTGAATAATTTTTATATATATATTTTTTTTTTTTTGGAAGGGAGAGATACACAACGCGCGCGACCTGCGCCATTACAGAGAACATCAATAGTGCTCTTACACTAAAGAAACCTCCCCGAAGCCTTGTAAACTGAAACTATCGCTATTTTTAACTTCCGGCACTTAGAAAGTGAAAATAACCAGCTTAGCGTCTGAAAGAGACAGCAGCAAGAAGCTGAAGGCGAAGCGTATTCA